TAAAAAATATATGTATACTAATATCAATAATAACTTAATTAATTTCTGAATTATTATTAAAATATATAAAATAAAATGTATTTTGTATGCCAATCAACCCACTCTAGGTGCTTCACTTACGTGTGCATATCCTGATGCATGACACTGATCCGTGCATTGTGAGTTACGACGCGTCCTTGCAGGGCCAGGACCGTCTGATCGGAGGCACGCAGCCAGCCGACCTGAGGAGCGCAGCAGAAAGGCAGAAAATACGATCAATAGGAATTAGATGGTGTGCAACTTGAGTCAGCCAGGTGAATGGAATAGTTGACCTACTTTATTCTTGCCCAGATTGCGCACGGAGCAGGCGAGAACGGCCTCACGACCAGCCGGATACGTGACATTGTTGATGAAGCCAATAAACTCCGGATCGGGATCCAGCTGTGAGTTTAACTCTGTGCACAGCACGTGGCATTAAATTGAATTAGAATTTGATGTTGGGGCCAATGGGGGCAATTGAATGCTTGCCCCTGCTCGACGCTCTACTTACCATGATGCTGATTCTGTGGATTTCCATTGGCGCATTTGGCGGCCATTATCAAAATGACAAAGAGCAGGCCTAAATGGCTCTTCATTTTGTTATTGTTGCTGTTGTTGTTGCCCCTCCTGCTGTTGTTGTTATCGTTATTGTTGTTGTTGTTGTTGTTGTTGTTGTTGTTGTTGCGGCTTGTTTTTTCGCTCTGCAGCTGACGTTTGTTATTTGCAGCAGCTGTTGCTCGATTCGCTGTTGCCGTTGTTGCCGTTGTTGCCGTTGTTGCTGCTTTTGTTATTTTATGGGTATTTTTTGTAGCGAACGCCACAAATTCTATTTGCATTTGAATTTCTATTTCTATTGCTATTTGCCGCATGCGTTGTTTGTGCAAATTGCGCAAGGGGCTTTGATTTCACTGCATCTGCATCATTCCCAAGTGCTGTTGACATCTGCAAGCAAATAGGAAAAAATAGCAAAAACAAAATAAAATGGCATCAGCATAAAACACCCAAAACAAAACATCAAAAATTTCTAACCAAAAATTTATTTCACCAAACAACAACAACTGCAATTGAGTTTAGTTTAAGTGCTGCAGCAGCAACAGCAGCAGCAACACCAACAGCAACACCAACAGCAACAGCAAAGCTGCAACAATAGCAATCAAGTGCTGGGCTGCTGAACTGGTTGTTTGTGGAGCTCACTGGGCCGTGTTGGGGGCTGTGGCGCTGTTAACTTGATTATGTGCGGCGCACAGTTTAACAATGTTACGTTGGCTGCTTTTAGGCGCGGCCAATATGGCCCACAGTCCGGCAGAGAGTCGTGGTCCGCTATCTTCTTTAGCCGCTGCTCAAAGTGAACGCAAATGCAATTTTCAACACAAACACAAATTTATGGCATGGCCATCGTGCCACGCCCATGTCACGCCCATCCACCCAGCAATAAAAGAAAAAGTGCGCTCTGACGACGAGCTGCAAAATAAAATATAACTGGAACAAAATAAGAGCACGAGTTGCGAGCGTTGCGAGCCAGAGCCGAAGCCGAAGCCAAAGCCAAAGCCAAAGGTGCAAAATATGAATGTAAATATTAAAAAAGTTTCAAGACGCAAAAACTAACGAGATGTACGCTCATTTGCCCAGCTTCCACCGGGGACCAGCCGGCACCACCAGGCACTACCAAACACCATCAGGCACCAGCATCCAGCGAGCTGCTGCACTTTGCTGCATCTGTAATTTAATTTCTGTGTGAAATTGAGCGCTGGGCTAATACTGAATTTGCAGTAAACCAGTTAGCAAGCCAGGCCGAAGCCAAAGTGCATTCAAGTCAAATACGGAACGGGGGGCTGGTTGCGGGGCGGCTGCGGGGCGGGCCAAGTGCAAACTTTTGACGAGGTGTCAATGCCGATGCCACGGGGCTAAAATGCGCGAAATGCCGTCAGTGGATGCGATGCCAAGGAAGGCAACTTTCTAGCAACGGAAATGCGATTTGCTTATTGAATTACCTTTTGGCTGCACAGAGTTGCGACAGTGCAGCTGCCACGACCAGGAGTAGCACGAATAGCAGGAGCAGCACCAGCAACAACAACAGCAACAGCAGAGCACACCGCGATTGATTAAATAATATTGTTCGCCTATTCGCATAATTGAATTTCTGAACAAAGCACTGGAGAGCTTTGCGTTCAATACAAATAGCTTTGCTATGCGTCCTTAAAGAGCTGACCACAGGACGACGTCATTTCAAAAAGCCAGACTAAAACATTATTTTTCAATATTTATCGATCAAATTTTGCATATACATAAGCGAGGTATTAAGAAGGCTCCAGGTCAGAGCTCTCCTTCAACTCTGTTGGTTTATTGGTACACATTAGGATAACCTAATTATTACCTTTGATATTCCATTCAATATTCGAATCAATGTGTATTCAAAGGTCTGTGGAGTAAGCAGATCCAGTGCAAAAAATTATTGCCGAACAAATGTTGCATTTGATCTTTGAGTAAGTTACAGGGCTCTAAACGGGAGTTCTTTGTGATTAAATGTTTAAATGACGACAGCCTAAGAATCGTTAATTGTGCTGAGGCATATAAAGTAAGGAGAACCTAACAATTTATTGTACTCTACCGATTATCGCTTCGCTTTAATTTAGAATATTTAAAATTTTGAGGGCACAAATGGGTTACTTATGTCCAGTTCCTCGTTTTATTTGTTGTAGGATATAATTTAAATCCCTCAATTCCACAGCTGAGACTCAACAACACTTGTTCATCATAGGGAATGATTATAGCCAGTGGCGCAGTGGATATCGGGGTTTGAAATAACCCGAGTTTTTAGAGTCGCAAATCTATTGATAATGAATCGGCCAATCTAGAGATTTTTGTTAACCTTGCTTTTTCTATTTTTTTTTTTTTTTTTTTTTTTTTTTTTTTTTTTTTTTAATTGTTTGTATCGATTTTTTTAATAGTCACATAAAAGGTACACAAAATGGATCGTTATGTGTGCATTCGGATATCAGGATATTTATCACTCCAATTAATAATAATCTATATTAATTTCTTTCTGTAATCTAACAAACTGGCAATTAATAAGAATCAATAAGAATCACCTCCCATTATCGACAAAGTCGCTACGCCTCTGCAGGTGAAAATATGAGTTCTTGCTACAGTTCTATCAAACTCTACTTTAGAATTTAGAATTTATTGTACTACTAGCATGCACTCGATAGTTCTTGATCTATCTTTCTCTCTCTCTCTCTCTCATGCTTTCATGTTTTGCAAATGTAAATTCACCTGACTATTTCCAATCTATATGTATAAGCCAATTGCCCTTTGCAATTGAGTTGATTTTCTTTTAATAGCTTACAGATGAAAAATATGCTCAAGGTACTTCGATAAATATATAGTTTATTTATAGTTAATTCTGACGAGGCTTCGCATTGCTGTCTATAGAGCAGTTAAGTGGATAAAACAAAATGTCGCCGGCAGCTCATCCACAAAGTTTTGTGTTTGTGTGTGTGTGTGTGTGAACATTTAATTTTTAATTGTGGCACATAGTCCGAGGCAATGCAATTTATGAGCGAGCTAAATTGTTGTGAAAATGCCAGCGGAATTCAAACTTGAAGTGAAATTTCAACTCATCAACTTGAACAATTGTGTTTGCTTCCATAGCTATTTGGGCGCTTTTTGTCGCTGTCAGGAAAAACAAATTTGCATCCGCACTCAAGAAAGGGAATATTTAAGAATGGGCTCCGAAAAATGTGCCACAGCGCGAACATAAATAAATTTGCCGTGTAAACAGAAAATATGGCAGAAAAAAAAAAAAAAATGGAGAGAAGGATAAAAGGAAAAAGTGCGGCAAACAAATGAAAAGTAGAAAGTAGAAACTGCAAATCAGCGCAGTTGCAGCTGCAAGGTACGCCAACAGCTGCCCCAGAGAAAGACACAGGCATACATAGAAAGAGTGAGAGAGAGCGAGAGAGAGAGAGAGAGAGAGGGCGAGATGGAGCTGGAGTGTGGGTGAGACAGCATCTGAGTGAGCAAGCGTTGTAGCAAAGTGGCAGCTGAGCCGGCGGTAACAAAAAGAGCAAAGGCGAACTAACACAGCGCCAAAACCTTTTGAAGTCGCACAGCTGGCAACAACAACAACAACAACAGCAAACTGGGCAACAACAACAAAGAGGGCGTGCAGGATGGCGAGGGCAAGCACTTGAGCGACAAGCGTCAGCAGGAGCTTGCTCGCTGACAGCTGAGCCAGGTCCTACGGCCAGCGAATGGAAAATGTCTTAAATGCCTATGCCGTATGGTTGATGGCGGCCCGAGGAGGGCGGGTCAGATGTGTTGCTAAAGGCTAACGGTAAACTGTAAATGACCGACGCTGCTAAGCGGCAAAGTGATTTGACTTAAAAGTGCTGAGCACTTGCTCGGACGCCAGCAGCCAACAGGCAGGCACTCAGGCAGGCAGCGTGGGCGCGTGGGCGCGTCAGCCTCGCGGAGCTGCTGTCACAGCGACAACAGCAATGCCAGCAAATAAGCAGCGGGCCGGGCCTTAAAGGATCAGGTTTAAGCTCATTTATTTAAATTAAAACAAACACTGCGGGGCTAAAAAGCCAAAGTCAAGTTGCGAAAGGGGCTGCTGGGCGGGATCTCGCACAAATCCACAAAGTCACGACTGAGTGCATCCAACTACACACATTGTGCGCTCGACTCCACAGCTGCGTGAGTGTGTGTGTGCGTGTGTGAGTTTTACGTATGCCTGCAAGGCGCGGCTCTCCCTCTCTCCCTTTCTCTCTCTCTCTCTGTGCGTGTGTGTGTGTGTGACTGCTGTAGAACTTTGGTAACATTTCCGATTGCTAACGCTGGCTTTAGTCGCAGTTCTGGCATTGTCCTTTGTCCCTTGGCCGTCAGCCGCCCAGCCCGACCAGCCCGCCCGCCCGCCTGACTGTCATTTGTCCACTACACAAACAGGGCAAATTGTTTGCAATAATGCGCGTGGCAAGTGGGCGGCATGCCTCGCCCATTAGCCAACGCCCCCACATTCGCCTCCAGCCGCGCCCGTTAACACATGCGCCGGCATTGATATGACAACGAATGCTCGCTGCAGGTAGCCCACCTGGCATTCCCCCCTCAGTTGCGCTGGCCATTGGGGATAATGAATTTCGCTGGCAATGGCAACAACCGCAACAACACTAACACCAGAAGTAGCAACAACAACAACAACAACAACAACAACAGTGACAACAACAGCACTGACAAGTGCGATAAATAACGATGCAAAGTTTAAGCAGAAAATCACAAAATGAAAATGTTAATTGTTTGGCTCACTTTTCTTATTGCTTTGATTGCGCCTCATACCCTGGGAAATGCCATAAGGGAGAATATGCACTATGAGAACTAGGTTGAATATTAATCTGTATATGAATGTTAAATTAAACAATAATAAATGTGTATATACGTATATATATGTGTATGAATATTTTTAAAAAAATATATGAAATGTTATTATATAAATT